CTTCACCCAATTCGCCCCACCACCTTGTATACGGCGGTGCGGATAATGTCTTAAGTCTTCCTTCTTTCTTTGTTAAATAAATTTTCCCCTACCGCGTCCAACAAAATTCTCTCACCTTGTTGGGTCCTCCCCCGGGGAAGGGGGAGGAGGTGCCACTTTGGTCGTGCACCAGACTTGGGCGTTAGACGGCACTGACCGCAAATCTGCATTCCATAGCGAGAATTTGTGACAAATATTCGAGCTGATATTATTCAGATGTCATGGCAGGATATTGGGCTTCAAATATCGTCCAAGGAATACCGGCTTGTTAGGAGCCTGGGACACCATGGAAGAAATACATGAGACTTCAGTCCGACAGTTTGCTTGACAGTTATTCCGCAAAGGTTTAGACTGTGGACCTTCTCTTAAAAACATGAACCTTTTCAAACCAACAGGGTGGCCTGTTTAAAAAAGACGTGAGGTCTGTACTGATAAAATATATTCAATGTTTTATAAATATATCTTGAAAGACTGAAGAAAATATTCACAAATCACGACCAAAATCAGTCCCAAGTCACACAGTGGGATTTGATACCTAAAGCGCCATCCAGAATGGGGGATTTTCGGAACGCCATTAATGTTTACGATTGACAAGCGCCGTCCAACATTTCTAGGGCACCTTGAAGGGCAGAGTAGTTTGCAGGGTCGAGCATAGTGGCATCTTCGTTGTCTGACTTTATGCCATTCGGGTAGGTATGGTTGTGTTTTGTAACGGGACGTGGGACTGAAATTGGGGGCAGAGGAGTAGATTTCAGTTGATTACAGTCCATAAGAAGTGGTAGTAATCATGGTTTGAAGAAGGTAACCACAACTGGAATGACCTGACTAACGGCTTTCAGAAAACACAGTCAATCGTCCAAGTTATTTTGATGACCTGAGGGAAGTATTTTCAGGCAGTCAATCGTTCAAGTTATTTTGATGACCTGAGGGAAGTATAGAACATTTTCGTCCCACAGACGCCTGGGGTAGTATTCACTACCAGTGAAGTGAACATTTGCTGGCAGAATTCATTAATTTTTTGCATGCTAGCTCACAGTAGCACAGACAGTTTGGTAAATTTAAGGGGTCTAAAGTGCTGAAAGGTCTGGATGAAAACTCAAGTTTTGCCAGCGCTGCCCACTGCGACATATTAATCGAGATTCAGACCCCGAGTGCGAACTGTTTGAAAAAAGCAACCTCCAAAATGTTCAACGGCTCATTTTTTACCGATATACTTTTTGGAGCAGATATTATTGAGTTAATGCTTCACTGCAAGAGAGGTGTGAATAATCTATAATAAGGGTGCTGAAATAAACAGTAAGACTTAGATGCCTAGCTACTGAATAAGGCAGCGTGAGCCAAATCCTCAAGGTGCTTCAGCACCTAATTTCCCATCATTGTGCGCCTCCATTTAAAGGGACACAGTCGACGAAAGAAGCATGCTGAAGGACAACGTTGGTGGTCGGGTATCTATTTCCTTATTAGTCTGCCACCTAAAACCCCGTCTGTGGACACTCGCGCACAATGCGCAATATCGCATACTGTTTGGCCTGAGCCGCAAGTGGTCCCAGTGAATGCCCTGCACCCTATGTATACCTCAGAGAAAATGACGGGAATATGAGGAGAAAATAACTGATCTGAAGACGTACTCGGCTGATGGCTCATAGTTGTCGATTCAAGCAAGTACGTCTAAGCGGTTGAGTCCATAGTGCTTGAAAAGTGGAATCTAGTGGCTTTCATTGGTCAACCAGCTTGATCTTTACAAACATGGCCACAGAAAGTGAGTTATATGTCTGTTTTACACCGAAAGCACTCAACTATGCTGGACATTGAAGCAGAGGCTTTCTGATATGTGGAAAAATCCTAGCAACTGAACCACTTCGGATAGACTAGTTGTTGCACGGCTAATAAACCGAGTCCGAAATTCAGCCGCGTGGTGTTCTACAGTTAGCAGTGGTTAGATTTGATTCCGTTCGGTTAAATGTCGCCACTGAGAGTCACTTTTTGTATCATTCTGGGCTAAGCATACTAACTTACGGCCACTGCCATAACAACCAACAAGCATTCCACATTACCGGTTGGAACCTCTCCCTAAAATAAATCCACACAGTAATTCCACGACTGGCTGCCACATAAGAAGATGAGTAGAGGTGGACATTATATTCAACTTGATGTGCCGGATCAAACCCAAACAGTTATGCAAGACCGAATGATTTTGCTGCGGAGGCTGGTGCCATCTATAAACAAGGGCCAAAACTATGTGCGTCGAAGTCCTGTGCTAATGAACTGAAGCAGTTAAGCAGACTGGCACTCAGCTTGGATTCATCTGATTCAGCTTTCGCCAAGGCCGTCGCGCTCCGGTCGAATTCTTTCATGCATTGGGCCGAGGCAAAATTCATGCCCATTAAAGCAACGTAACTTCAAGGCTCAAAGCATCATTGCGTTTCGGCTTGACCATTGCATCCAAAAGAGTCTTTTTATTTGGTTTACTTCAATTTTGGTGTATTTATAGGAGCTGGTTGAAGAAATATCGAAAAAGGCGCTTTACCCGCACTTATTTTGTGACTTCACCGATCCCCTTTTGGCAATGATTCAAGCGCAGATGGGTGCAAACTACCAAGGAAACTGTTTAGTGTAGTGTCCTTCAGAGTTGACAATTTAGTAGACTCATCCAAGACACTCTTTTTATGCTTAGTTTATTCATCGCAATTTGATAAAACGTCTAGAGGGACACAGATACAACGTAGCGTACACTAGTGCACGTATGTTCCACCCACATAACATCTATCATTTCCGGCTTTCCTCTCTGCGAACTTGTTGACTGGAACATGGTGTTCTAAGGTCTCGTTTATTTATCGCAATTTGATAAAACTTCTACAGGGACACAGATACAACGTAGTGTATACTAGTGCACGTATATTCCACCCACATAACATCTATCCTTTCCGGCTTTCCTCTCTGCGAACATGTTGACTGGAACATGGTGTTCTAAGGTCTCAGTGGGATGGAGGCTACGACGAGTAATAGAGGTGGGTAGCTTCCGTCTGACTTAGTTAAGCTTAACAGTCAACACCGCGCAACCAAACCCTAGCAACATGTTAACCATCGGCCCATACATTCTAAAATCTGAAGAACTGAGAGAGACTAAAGGGTGTCTTTCAACCTTTGGACTCCTCCTGGTGGTAAAGTGTAAGATGTTAGCATCCTACCTGGCGTCATACTTTCTTAAAACTGAAACGACATGGAAACTCTGGAAGGAGACAAATATCTCCTATTGCAGAACAACTGGATCTATTTCTTGAATATCGTAAGGTGTGTGCTACTGAGACATATCGCCCCAGAAAGTAGAAACCATAAATCCGTTTCTCGCAAACAAACGCAACTTTTGCATCAAACCTAATATACTTTAGTTGGGTCCACATGGGTGGCGTTTGAAACGGACTATCTTCCAAACCCGTCTGTTGTGAATCGGTGTGGAGAACGGTAGGTGATGCGGCTGTCGTAAGAAGGAATCACGACCGCAGGAAGGTTGAAACACCAGCAACTATATGAGCTGTTAGCAGATATCCCATATGGGAAGGTCAGCGTTTCCACATATAAGGTAAAAACAAGTGTTGCTACGCGGTCTTACTGGACGTACTGCCATTTTCAGACACCGGCGACAAAAGGGACCCATGTCATCAGCTTGCGAGAAGCAAACCCAGAAGTTATTCATTTGTTCATCCGGCTGTCTGAGAGATGGAGTAGGGGCACACATTAGGCGAAACTGGATCTTTGAATATCGTAAGGTGTGTGCTACTGAGACATATCGCCCCAGAAAGTAGAAACCATAAATCCGTTTCTCGCAAACAAACGCAACTTTTGCATCAAACCTAATATACTTTAGTTGGGTCCACATGGGTGGCGTTTGAAACGGACTATCTTCCAAACCCGTCTGTTGTGAATCGGTGTGGAGAACGGTAGGTGATGCGGCTGTCGTAAGAACGAATCACGACCGCAGGAAGGTTGAAACACCAGCAACTATATGAGCTGTTAGCAGATATCCCATATGGGAAGGTCAGCGTTTCCACATATAAGGTAAAAACAAGTGTTGCTACGCGGTCTTACTGGACGTACTGCCATTTTCAGACACCGGCGACAAAAGGGACCCATGTCATCAGCTTGCGAGAAGCAAACCCAGAAGTTATTCATTTGTTCATCCGGCTGTCTGAGAGATGGAGTAGGGGCACACATTAGGCGACCATTGAAACGTTATACTCTGATATTGGTGTCCTACAGTCATGGAATCAGATCACCTTTGCAGCAACAGCTCTCGAATGGCATAGAACATTGTATCTTATCCACGAAGAAGAGTTACCACATTCCGATGATGATGAGGTAATGTAAGACAGCATCCACTTGTGAAGCACTAGAAGTCTGAATTAAAAACAATAACAACAACAGGTCGCAACTTCCAACAAGCGGATTTTATTGGACGCCATTGATAACCAGCGAACTTCATTGCAACATACCTACTCAGTGTTATGAAATGAAAACGCCTGGTACGAAAGTTCATCTAGTTTAGGTCCTGTAACAAAGACTGTTTAACATACTCGCAAGTAATCTGTACAGCTAAGCGTCCAATCAGCTTACTAATGAATCCACTAATCAGATGAGTGTCCTGAATTTCACTGTAGCTGGCAATAAAGAGACTTTCCGTTCATTAGTATGCAGCCATTAAGTCAAATATTGTAAATAGACGGTACTCAAGAACGCTAGACATTCCTAATGGATATTGTATGGATATGGTATGGGAATCTCGAGTAGATGACGATTCACATGACTCACTTCTTTGATTTGGTGTACGCCTATCAGTGATGAACAACTGAGGCGTTATTTTTTTCATGGGCAGGAGTGCTTCTGAACCATCTGGATGTGATGTTTTCCTATAGGCCTTGGTTGGGGAAGATGCTCGCGGAGCAGCAGGATTCTTTCCTCCTGTGAGGGGGGCGTCGCTAACCGGAGTACTTGACGATACCATCCAGGTGGGATCAAACACTCTCAAAGGACCTCCGGGCTTAGCACCCCTGACGGTAAGTTCCGTGATGCTCAGCCTGTTTGGCTTTGTAACAGATATTCTGTTTGATCCTTGTTCACGATTCATATTTTCTCTATGTAAGGGCGCGAGAGGTGGTCGAATAGAAACGGTTTTAGACTGCTTCGCTTGTCCAATGAGTTTCTTTTCTTTCTGTGCGTACGAATTGGAGGGATGTGGCAGAGAAAAAAACAAATAACACAACGTACAAAGAGGACACAAGAAAGATTAGAATACGAAGGAATACATCACTAGTTGTTTTGAAACAAGAGACAGAAATTTGATGCTAGGAATTGTTTTTTCACAACTAAGAAACAGAGAGTAAACGTAAGAGTTAGATGCCGCTATCCACGACTATCCCGAGACCCGTTTTGGAACTAGAAGAGTGGAAAGAGATAGTATACACAGTACGTCACTTTCAAGTGAGTAGAATAACTTACTAGAGGAGACACTTTTGGCAACGGAGTATCATACTCATCATCGACAACACAGAACATCAGTGTTCGACACCGATGCTTTGCTGCCGTGCAACCCAAATTTATTTGAAAGCAATATTGTGAAGAAAATAAGAGTGGACCGGGAAGAGACTTAACGCAAGCTTGCCACGATTATTTCGAGATGCGTTTACCTCCACACATTCATTCAGGCGATCTGGATAGAAGCTTAAGACGAGAACGCCACTGACATCGATTAGCAGCCATATCTTCCAGCGTCTCCAACCAGGCGCAGTGGGAATCAGGCGATCCCCATCCTGAAAGGCGAATAGTACTGACAGCACTCAAGCTTTTCGTGATTTCCTCTATACCCCTCTGACAGATCAAGGGTTTGCCACCTCACTGCTTCTACCACTCTGAATTAGGCACGGAAAACAGCACTTTCTTCGGCAAACGATGTTTCGGCATGCGCAATTCGTGGCCTAACCAACGTGGCTCCTGGTGCTGGACACATTCTTCGATGAAAGTACCCGTTGCACAACCAAAAGCTCGCTTTCTTGTTGCCTTGTTGCGGATTCTTCGACACCAATCTACACGAGCTATGGTCCTGAGACAACGATTGTCGAACGCCTGAAGACATATCAGTTCAGCTACTCGAACAGTCAGAGTCTCAGCCATACAACAAAACAGCTCGGACTGTAGCCTGATACATACGTCCCTTGAGATTAAGCGATATGCCGCTTTGACGCCATAAGTGTCCCAAATTAGCAAACGCGCCCCGAGCCTTGCAGATTCGTGCATTCACCTCATCTGTCACACTAGTCAGAACCAATACAACTTACAAGATACGTGAAACGCTCCATAAATTTGAGTGCCTCTCCCTGGGTTGTAAGTGAAGTGTTCAGTGAGTGCACGTCCACGAGCATGAACTTACACTTTGTAGGTGAAAATTGCATACCAAAGGACGGGACGACTTTGGTCAGTTCATCCAGAAACAACTGCGCCTTATCCTCTCCCAACATGAGAACGATGTCGTCTGCATATTCCAGATCGACAAGGATTTCTTCACAGGGTTTTGGACACCCTCCAGCGTTCGTCTCATTATTTCATCGAGGTCAAAACTAAATAGGAGCTGATACACTGGGAATCCCCAACGGACACCGTTTCGCGTATGGACGCTTTTGGAGACCTTTCCATATGGTATCACAAGTCCGAAAGTCTGAGAATAGAAATAACTTACTATGTTTAGAAACTTCTAAGGGATTACTTAATGGAAAAGCGTGTCAAGGAGAACAGACAGGTCAACCTAATCGAATCCACCTTGGGATTCTAGAAACTGTCTCGTTTATTCGAGTGTCAAGCTAATCCTACTCTCCGAACTGACTACGAACGTCATTTGAAATAGGCAGTGTCACCAACTCTGTCCAGTTGTCTGCGACAGCCTCCTTTTCCCAAATGCAGGCAAACAGTTCAGAAAACCGTGGACTGACTACTTCACCCCCATCTTTGAACAATGTGGGTGGAAGGCCGTCCGGACCAGAAGCTCGGTAGCGATTGAGAGTACGTATAAAGTCACGATCCTCCGAGGCTGTAGATGATTCCGCGTTCACCATCCATGGTTCTACGTGAGCTATGGGCTTCAGGTGAGTGTCAGCTGCTGTGGCGGCAGAGTAGCATCTCCGTTGCACTCCATTCTTACGGAATCGAATTCCCAGCACAGAAAAAAAGCTGATTTACACCCTTGCAGAATAGACTGCATTTTACTGATTCAAATTTACTGGTCAAACGCGATGTTAGACGGTTGAGCACTGTGCATAAACTGTTTAAGTTAGTGCTAACTCTGGTTGGCCGACCGCCAGCTAGGTTACACACATAAGGCACTTTCGTTGGATTAGTTGATAGATGCAATAAGAGGCTTGAGAGGTCCTAGTGGTTATGGGGTTGCCATCAACTTCGACTAGAGTCATAACTACACCATTCATGGGGGCTGGTGATAAATTATGCACTTTATTGCGCTTATTCGAATACAGGTAGGTAACACAAAACGCTCATTCGTATTGACCCGGGTAACTGTAGCTGATGTGCTTTATGCATTCACCTTATGTTACATTTCAGTGTAAGTCAGAAGGCTCGTTTAAAGCATGGAAATTAGATTTCTTTCTCGGTAGGTTCTACTTTGAACAGCACTGCTTTTGCGGTCCAGTGCCAAAGAGACCACTTGTGTTTGGTCCTTTCAGACGGCCTGTCCGGAATGAGTGTAGTATCTTGAAATACATTTGGAAAATCCACTGAACAAAACTCCTGGCTACCGTTTTGAAAAGTTGTCGAATGGGTCTCAGAATTGGGAGGTTGAATCCCTTCTAAGAGACCGCCTGACCCATCTATTCATGTCGAACGAATTTCACTACATAGGAAAACAACTAGTGGATACAACCTAGTAAGGTCACAAGGATCAGTGTACCCAGACTAGGATAGTTGTAGCCTAGTTTTGGCCTTACAATATGAACTCCATTTTGGATTATCAGATGTTTGATGTAGCCTCGGTCAATTGTTAAACAATATCGACCGGTTTGTTTCCAGCTGGCGGGAGGTTATTTAAAAAACGTGGTATTTTGCTCAGCATTTGAAATATGAAATAAAGCTGCGTAGGGACTGTTCAACAGTGACAAAAGCTGCCATACATCATCATAGAACTCAGATCAAGCATTTCGTCGCTAAGATTCATTATCTTCTTTGTGGCCTAGTCCTTACAATATAAACTCCATTTTGGATTATCAGATGTTTGATGTAGCCTCGGTCAATTGTTAAACAATATCGACCGGTTTGTTTCCAGCTGGCGGGAGGTTATTTAAAAAACGTGGTATTTTGCTCAGCATTTGAAATATGAAATAAAGCTGCGTAGGAACTGTTCAACAGTGACAAAAGCTGTCATACATCATCATAGAACTCAGATCAAGCATTTTGTCGCTAAGATTCATTATCTTCTTTACTTCACTCTGCATTTTTCCGCGTTGAAGATAGTCTAAACTCTATGGACCATGGAAGTAACTAAAGACACTGGCTACCAGTCAAACGATGTTGAATGAATGCAGCCTGGGTAATCTTTTCCTCTGCAAAAGCATGCAGCCAAAGTGCACACGACATAGCATTGGAGTTTCGGTGAAGGGTAAACAATTCGGGACCTTACATAGCGGAGTCACGGTGGTTTGGAACGGTATTTCCGAGTTAGCTTACTAAATTTGGATATTAAAGAGGCATCTCAGCACTTTTGCCGAAACAGTATCGGTGAGTGGTTTAGAGGCGTTAAAAAATTTACGATTGAGCCGGGAAAGATCACGCTTAACGAAAGCCGTTGTCAGGTAGAATTGAAAAGGCAAGTTTCTCAGATCCTACGTACTTACGGCTGTGTAACACGAGCGAGAACATAATTTACCTGCAATATCAAACTAGCTAAAGAGGAAGCTTTTTAAACAGAAACCCGAATCGCTTCAGGAGTATGCATTAGAAAGTTCATAGAAGTATGGACAATTTGTGCAAAGGTAAGTACAGCAGTCTTATTAAACGAAATTGTTTCGTTACGACAGAAAATTCGGAGCAACCATGAAAGTGAACGAAAAGTTGTAAGAAGCAGTAAAAGGAGCACAGAACTGTCAGCGATTGGTTGTGTGATAGTGCCTCGGCGCTACTGTTTGAATGAATTTAAAACCGTCCTAACTCTTTAACCATTATGTGCAATTAAACGTAGATGACCATACAACAATTTGTCGTGAAAGTGCTTGCCCAGCTAGGTTTATGTAAAGGGTCAGGAGGTTTTCTTAAGAGACTCAAACAAATCTCTCATTTATATTATTCTTCAAGTAGAGGTGCCATATAAAGGCCACCTCATGCTTCATTAGGTATGAATCATTCAGTGATGTCTCGAGTATCGTGCAAACTGAAGTATGGGCGGTTTTTGTGCAGCACATTCAGTTGAAGAAAATCACAAACAAGTGATTCGTTTTGATTTATTGTTGAACGCATTTCGTCAGTTGCATACAGTTTGGTGAACTACACCCCCAAGAAGGATAAAAAATTGATCGTAAACTGTCGACAAGTTTTCCGTAGTCTTAGGATTTGAGGGTATTCTCGTCCACTCTTGACGGCTTTCCACTCTAGTCATAGTGGAGTAAAGACATTTCCCCGTGGTCACAACACCGGCCTAAGCAAAGGCCGGGTGAAGCAGTTCGGCACTGCAATCTTGACCAAATCAGGTTGAAGCTTCACGCACCAAAATATTTCGAACAATCTAGACCAAAGCTGAAATAGTACGCGGGTGTTGAGTGTTATCGGTGTGGAGATGCCCACTGAAGAGTTGCAGACTCTTCTGATCACTTTATAATGAATAGCAACCTGTCTGGCTATCGCTCTCAATAGAGAAGAAGCTTCAACAGCTAATGTTATGCAAGCCCAGTTATTTGCATTAACTTGTGGTGCATTGCACAAACATGGTGCATAATTACTCGCATGATCAAGAACGCCAATGTTCGGTGTATCTGTTTGCGGCGACGGACAACAACCAGTGAGAGTTACCTCAGAGTTATTTGGCAGATAATGTCGCCAAACTTTGACACAACAATGGCTCAAGTTACCCTTCGACTGCTGACCAGAAAAAATGAAAGTGCATTCACATCCCATCTGGTGCCACAGCTTTTCAAAAACTCTAGTTCGTGGAGTGCGACCAGTACTCAACCACTCGTGATTCAGTTTGTACTACAAAGTGAGTGAACAAAGAAGAACTGGATGATTTGTTTGAATCGCCTTCAAATCGTGGCATTTTAGTTGCACTGTCAGTCTCATGAATGTCCTAAATCGCGTTGTGCTTATTGGTTGCCTTGGGGCCCCGAATGTGGCAGTACGATCTCACCACCTAAAATCATGTGATACCGTTTGTCAATCTTATTAACTGTTCTACACGAAACACTTACCCCTGGATTTGATGACTAGGCCAATTTTATATTCCGTTATGTCGTCCAGTAAGCGCTTGCATTTTAGGTGTTCTTAAGAGACGGGATTCAAAGATGAGGGCAGACAACAAACTGCGTGCAACAAACTGCAGTTAAAACGGAAAATTTTTGGCTGCTCTGCTAATTAGATGGGCAACTATCGGACGATTTTTTGGATGGAACGGTGAGTGTCCTATGGTTGAACTAAAAAAGAGACTGTTGTATATTAGTGGCTAAATACAAAGTTATCCGATACCTACAGTGGCATTTTGTGTCCTTCCATTTTTTCTCTACTGTTCTACAATTTGTAAATACTGTAAGTCATTCTCTCACAATGTTTCTGAATTTGTAAGGGAAATATCAAGACATTTCTGTTCACAAAACACAAATGACTGACCGCAGAATCTTCTGGCTTTGTTTTTGAGCGGAAATTCCAACAAAGGTAACTTTAAAAGTGGCTTGAAGAACTGATTTGCTGGTCGACATGCTTTTGATTGGCGAAGTGCACAGGCATTGCGTAATATTAGATCACATACCCTAGGTTTAAGGTTAAGAGGCTTTCAGAATGCTGAGGAAATTGGAGTGAAAAGAATTCATTCTGGAATGCAAGTTTTTATGGTTCGCACGCCACTTGAAGGCTGTGTATTAGAAAAATCTTGGTTAAAAATGACTAAGCAACAGGCTCTCCAGGTATAGACGACACTTCATAAGTCATTCAGGGAGAGTATCGAGAATTATCGCAGTTCAGTGTACTGTTCAGTGTACAAACGGGACGAAGATGGGTACTCATGACGGAACATTCATCCACGTTATATTGTC